TACAACTTGAGTAGTGATAAGTCTTATTTAGCAAAAGAGTGCTTCACATTTTTTTCGGATCATGTTTATTTCGGATAGGTTGTAGACATTCTGGCTAGGATATCTGGGAAGACCTATATATAACTGCTCTTTAATTATTGTCTTTGACAAGGTCTCATAAAAATTCATGCATGTTTTGGGTTAAAAATTGTGTATACAGTGACAAATTTTATTCGGCATACAATGCTTAAATCACTGACAAATTTTTCAGCCCTTAATTTTTCTGTGAGTAGTTTTGTAGGCTTAATACAAAACCTGGTGATACGTCGGAGATTTCTGATAGGAAATCTTTACATGTGCGGAGAGATTTGGGGAAGTGGCTGGGTAAGAAGGATGATTTTAGATTTCCACCAAGTGATCCAGTGACTTAAACGATTGAGGATAAAGGAGTTTCTTAAGGTTGTATGCAACTAAAAGGATTCTGTTGAAATAAAATGAATCTTTTTTATCCAGCTCCGTGAGTTGTTATTGTCTTGTTCAAATTCATAAGGAGGATTCGTGTGTGAAAAAACTAATAAAAGGTGAAATGAAAACTTGTATTGCAAACAGCATTCGATGTAATGGACACCCGATTATCAACCGAGTATTATTATATTAAATCTCTACCCCAGCTTCATCAGCTTCGAAAAGGCCTTCGACAGAGTTGACCGGGAAGTGATTTCGAGATTGACGCAGCACTACAGAGCGTCCCAAATCTTTATCAACCTTAATCAACAGCTATATGACAATGAAACATGCTAAATAATTCCCAGAGGAAAACTCAGCCAGGCGTCTGAAATGAATACAGAAGTAAGACAAGATTGCCTACTATCACTGATGACATTTCTGATTGTGATGGACTTGGTCATACGACAAAGTGTGGGAGGGTGGGGAGACTGGAATATACTGAACCTACAAGAAGACTCTAGAAGACCTGGACTTTGCGGGTCTGATATCACACAAACCAGAAAACTTACATGCGAAAACCAACAAAATGTATGAAGAAACAGAGAAGAATGGACTTCAGATGAACGTAGAGAAGATAGAGGTGATGAAAATAACCAACCAACAACAACAGCCATCAATCACTGACAACAGGAGAAGTCTAGAGGAAGTCACCTCCACTTAATTAGGCAGCATCGTTTCAACATAACAATGTCAAGTCAGTCAATTCTTTTATATGGTTGAGAGATTTAGTGCGTCATGAAAAACATTTCCAACAGGCTACAGACTTTATCAAATGCATCTCTGGATACTGAAGACCAGATGGCCGGTCGGAAAGGATTAACAACAACGAAACTCTGGAAATGTACCGACAAATATGCAGAAGGAAATGGATTGGGCACACGCTGAGGGGACCGTTGAGTGACATTACGCGCCAAGCCCCAGAATGCAACCCGAGTGAGAAACAAACAGTTGGGCGTTTGAGTGTGACATGGAGGTGATCATGTGAAGAGAAAGTCAAAGATTATGGACAGACGTGAAGCCATCTAAAAAGGACTTCAGAGAACCGGGTGAAATGGAACCCGAAGGATTAATAGTAATGACAGTTAACCAACTGAGTAATGAAATTTAACTCATACAAGTTGGTCTTATTTTCACTTTATTCGCCACAAAAACATTCTCTTCATTATTTCAAACCGGAATTAAATTTATGCCAATTCATTTTTATAAAATAATGTCAACATATGTGAATTCGTTATTTATACTAGAATAATTGATTAACTATTTATAACAGACTAATCAGACTTTCAAATTATGCCATGTATTTATACATATACAACACACCTAGACGAGGGAAATTTACTAAATATAGAATTACTAATTTAAGATTTATCGAAGTGATATTAATAGTTGTTTATGCATTGTGTATAGATTACGTCAGATCAGTGTATTGTGATGCAGTAAATAAGAGATCTAGAATTTAAATATTCTATCTATCAAATTATATTATTTAGTTAGTCTTTGAAATTGAAATGAAACAAACTGTATCCGTGTAACTTGGATTTTTAATTTGTAATCTAGATAAGGAAATTATTTGTACTGATGGAAATCTTACCATTATCAACATGTTTTTATTTCACTTACAGCAGGAAATTATGTCATTTAGAAACCCATTGAAAACGAGTGAGTACTCGACAGATATTTCGCCATAGCTTGGGACTCTTCTGCAGTATGCACCCATGATCCCACAGTAGGCTGAAGAGTTCCACAATAGGACGAAACAGCTGCCCAGTATCCCTTGATTTTCTTCGTTTCTTTAACTGAAGTCATTTTGTTGCCCAGCTTGAAATCAAGTAAATCTCTGCAGACTAATGCATGACTACATGTTTTCTGATATCGATTAAAAGAAAATTTCTCTACAAGACACCGCGCGTCGGTTGTTCATGAGTACAGTGCTTGCCAACCACACACCACGTGATCCGGGTTCGGTTCCTAGCCAAAGCACTCCTAAACTTTAACAAACCAGTAGTAAACCGGGAAAAGAGGGAAGGTTGGAGAGACGCTAACAGCCCTATCTCAATAAAACAACACCACAGCTACTGCAACTTCAAAACCACAAGCATTAAGCCTTCTTTCCCATTTGGAACTCAAAAAATGAAAAAACAGATCACTGAAATATTTGTTTACGATGTTCATCCGACTGAAACCATGAGCCTTTCATCTCAGAGAATCATGAACAATATAGAGGCAATAAAAAGCTTAGATGCTTAAGTTTTCTTACATCAAACAATAATAGTAAGAGTTAGTGTCTGAGTTAGTTTGATTCTCCCCGTTGATCGATTTATATTAGACTGAAATGTTCGGTCTCTGTTAACACGTAGGAATCTAGGAGGGGGACTTCGACAATGTCTGGAGATTAAAATGATGTTTTTAATTTTTGGTTGTTGTAAAGCAGTGGAATCCAGGATTCGCTTTGATATTTGAAACGATGAGTGTTAGGTTCGAGCCTCAATGGGGACAACATCATTCACTGGGAATTCAGGTACATCCAGCTGAAGAATAGCAAACAGAATGAAATGTGCGTCCTGTATTCCACTGCTATTTACCATGAACAAATATAACATCAGAGTGAATGTCCTTAAGTAGATACGAAGACGATATCAGTGCGAAATCTAAAGAAAGCAAATGTCAGGTATCTTCTTAAGTATTCGTCGCTAGAGTACATTTCCTTTAGTTTTAAGAAACAAATAAACTCTTTCTGTCAAAGATTAGAATTCATATCAATCAATAGTGAAGCCAATTTTTGTGTCAGCCAATCAACTTTTCAGATCAGGTTAGCAGCTGCAAATTTTAATTATTCTTTCATCTTTCAATCATAATCAAAGTTATTGAAGATTTTAACAAAATTCTTTTATCATACCCATCAATAATGATACTTGTGAAGTATTATTTATTGGTAAAAGTTAAACTATGACGTCTACTACTAATAATAACCCTGAACAACCAATCAGAATGAAGAAATGTTAAAACTCATAAATTCATCAGGGCTAGAAGTTGTATTGGACTTCATCCGATCGTTTTTTCAGGGTTTTTATTGGCGATAGATGCAATGGTTTAACCTCTCCACTTATTGAATTTTGGTAAGGTAAATTATAAAACTGAAGATGAATTGCTTCAGTTTATGTCAAATACATACGCTTAAAATGAATTACAGTTTCATTATCGTCTTTACTTATTTAAGGGAATTTATGAGGTGAATAAATAGACTAGTTAATTATTTTCAAGTATTGGTTTGTAGGGATTTTGTTTGATTGATTACAGGATTTCATCATGAGCTGATATCAGTTAGAGAAGCACTGGAAAAGCTGCAGGGAGTATTGGACAGCTGTTTCATCCTAGTTTGGGACTCTACAGCAATAGACAACCTTCGGGTACAGCAGGTTGGGCGTGAGGACAAATATCAGCTGAAGACATTGCGAAGTGGTCGCGCTATGTCGTGAATTGGCAGAAGTTGGAATTCATGGGCTATTGGATCAGGTCCCAGTGGCTTAGTGGTCTACGAGCTTACCTTGTAACCAGAAGGTCCTCGGTTATAACTCTAGTGGACGCCTACTACTGAGTACTCCCTAGTTCTCCAATGATTATTTGACTGATATTAATTCCTGATCAAATCTGTAACCAATCAAATGCCTTCAAACCAACATTTGAAAATTAAATGTTTTGTTTTAGTCTACAACCATTCAGTGGCCACAGTGGCGTCGGTGGCACAGTGGTTAGGACTGTCGCCGACCATGCACATGGTCCGGGGTTCGATCCCCTGCCGACGCACACCCGATATCTATGGTCGGCCTGCAAAATCTGGGCTACCGATATCCATGCTGAAAATTCCACACTTGTACTGAAAATACGGTGTGGCATCAAGCTGTAATAAAATAAATGAAGAATTGTGAGGACAACCAACTGTTTATAGCTTGAAGTTACTTGTTTGGTAATAGCTAATAGTCAAACCAAGAAAGTGCATTTCTTTCGGACTGGTCAACTGGATGTACCTGTTACTCATTGATTGATGGGTGGTATTCTCACTGCGACTTGAATGCAGCATTCATAGCTTCAGAAGCTAAAGTGTTATCCACCAGGCTAATCAGTAGTGCGTCTGAGTCACCGTGTAAACATCACTACTAACATCCAGGTGAAAAGTTCCAAACAAGACGAAACGCGCATCCTGGACTCCACTGCCATCCATCACTAACCAAACAACCTCGAGTTAGTAATCATGATAATATGGAGACCTCTGTTCAAGAATAAAATGTACCAAAATTAGGCTGACTTATTCCGTCCACATGGGAAATCACAAGCCTGAATCATTAGCCCTCCACTATTCAGAGTCCAATAAAAGCTGAGCTAAGCACGAGTGATAACCGACACATCACAAAATATCTCTACTGGAGACAATTTCATCTCAGTTTCAAAGTGTTACTAAATATAAATGTTACATAATATTAAAAACACTAGTCTAGTAACATATATAGTATACTTACCTGGACATAAAACATAAATACAAGCAGCAGCTTGTAAATAACCGTTCCCATCATCAACAAAACAGACTGTTTGACTATTAACATCAGGCCAATTATTTTTATTAGGATTATATTGATAAACATTCATCTCTTCATTTAAATGATTAATTTTAGATAATTTATATTCCATAGGCTTTTCATAATATGGAAAACAAGTGATTTTATTCAAACCAATCAGTGAATGAGATAATAGATTATTTGTTCGTTTCTGTACTCCCCTTGTTGTAGTCGCATCACATTTGATTTGTATACGACTTTTAACCGATTGTAAACCATTTTGACAGTTAGATTTATCATGATCTAATTTATGCGGTATCTTGTGTATTTCATGGAAAACAATATCATTATCAGTAGTAATATCTTGTTCTACATGTAGACTGTGAGTCCATGTCTGTAATATGAAAAGAAAGAAAAAGAAGGGAAAAAAATCAAGAGAATTATAAGAATATCATCATTTTGAAAGTAGAATACCAAGATATTATGTAAAACATTTAGATATATCTATGAATAGTCCGCAACCAGACACTAATGCAAAGAAAACACGTAGTTCAGCGTAGAGTCTATTTTCGGCGAATTCATTCACTTAGCTGTATTATTATTATTATTACTGTTCCCTTGGGTTCCTAGTGGAACATAGGGCTTCAATTGCACGACTCCACTTGCTTCTGTCTTCTGCTGTACTTTTCACCTGCGTCCATGTTAGTCCATACTGTTTCGATTCCTCTTCACACGATCTCCTCCATGTCACCCTTGGACGTCCCACTCGCCGCTTACCTTTCGGGTTCCACTCGAGCGATGGCCTGACGCGCGATGTCACCCAGCGGCCTCCTCAGCGAGTGTCCAATCCATCTCCACTTTCTCCTGCATATTTGTTGGGCGACTGGTTCTTGTTTTGTTTGTTCCCATAGTTTCTTGTTGGTGATTCTTTCTGGCCATCTGATCTTCAGTATAGAGCGAAGACAGTTGTTGATAAAGGTCTGCAACGGGCTGTTGGAAATATTCTTTGTGACCCGCCTAGATTTCTAGCTCGCTAGTTTTCTAGCCGGTCCCAAGCCCGGATAAAGAGGGAGGGTCGGGGCATGGTGCTAGCAACTCCACCCCCAAAACTTAACCAAATTGCTACAGAAACTTCAACGCACAAATATATATTAAACTTCACTTAGCTGTACAGTCATAATTATATATACTTATTTTTGTATTTTTGTGTAGCTTAGGTTTGTCCAGTAAGAATAACTGCTGAAGCCTTAGCCATTCAGTTAGAAAAAACAGAATTATGCGTACAAAAGAAAATAATCCAACTACTTCTACTATCATGGTAACACCCTTGTTGACTACGACTGATTTGATGTTTGTGTGCTTGTTTTTTTCTAACTCTCTTATAACATTTTTAATTTTTAGGACCCTTACGTAATTCCATATTTTCCTTTGTTTCTGTGTGTATCCTAATCACACTAAACTCACTAAACTATCCACCTTATTACGTAACTGTATTACGCTTATTCATCTTTCCAACCCACTTCATCAATTGGTACAACATTTTCTTTCTTTCTGTTCCTTTTCTCTCTCTTCTTTTTCTGTTATGTGCTGCTTTGTCTCTTTCTCTCGCTTACGCCAGTTAATAAGACAGCTCCCACTTTTCTAACACCTTCAAACACTGTTTCAGCTTTACCTTTGCTACTGACATGCCAATGTATTGTTGTAATAATGAACTGTGGTTTCCTCAATCTATGTAGAATTCTATTTATTGACAATGTACTAACTGGATGCAATACTGTAGCAAAAATGCTGAGAATTCCATTCTGTATCACAAGTACTGTTTTGGAATAAAGCAAATTATTATTATTATTTTTTTATGTGTTGATTAACATTAATAACTGTTTTTTTTTATAACACATCACCACTACCCTCTTAACAATCTTCACCCCCCTTAGTTACAATTTAATGGACCATTGAGTCGGGTCCCAGTGGCTGAAAGGTATACGAGCTTGCCTTGTAACCGGAAGGTCCTGGGTTCGAACCCTGGCGGTGGGTGCATACTGCCGATGATTCCCAAACTAGGATGAAACAGCTGATGTCCAGTACTTCCTGGATTTTAATGGTTCTCTAACTGATATCAATCCGTGGTCAAACTCGAAAAATAAATCTATTCCTTACAAACCAGTCTTGACAACTGAAAATGTCTTGACAACAATAATCCTAACTTATTTTTATTCTTATCGGACAAACCTAATGTATACACACATACAAAAATAAGTAAGTGAATGAATTCGTTGGAAAGAGACTCTTAACTGAACTACGTATTTTGTTTTCATTTAGATATATCATCTTTAAAAGTGGAATGGTTATTCACTTGCATTCCCATGCAATTCACAATGAGCCACACCTATTTTCTCAAGCCTAATGATATTATCTGACTGCTTGAAAATCCAGTAGGTAGGATAAAGATCGAACTTATGATACAGTGTACGGTAATCGAGGACCTAGTGAGTCACAGATACATCTATTTACTGTTTTTGTAATCCTGTTACAGAGCTCAAAAGTATTGTATAAACATGATCGATTGATGCAGATTTGCAGGTTATTATTACTACTATTAATACTTTTTAGTAAATTTATATGACTTATGGAGTCCGGAACAATATGACTGAACAGTATTTTGTGAGAGGTTGAAAATGGAAACATTGTACATAACGTTTGTTTAAAACGATTCATAGGAAAACATACATAACTCCAGAGTGCAATCTAAAATACAGTGTACTGCTCGACGCTTCTTCTTCTCACTGGTTCATACTGTCTACCTGCTGCAGGAACCTCTCATCCTCATCCGAAGACTATTCTACAACCGGCGCACAGCTCCTACTAGTACACACGACTTCAGCAGTGAACACTTATGTGGATTATATTAATAATTTGTAGCAGCGGACTTTAACTGTATCATTGAAAACCAGGGAGAACTGGACAGCTGTTTCATCCTAGTTTGGGAATCATCGGCAGTACGCACCCACCACCAGGGTTCGAACCCAGGACCTCCCGGTTACAAGGCAAGTTTGTATACCATTCAGCCACTGGGAACCGATTCAATGGCTCATGAATTCTAACTACTGACTAGAACCCCGGGAAACTCTATCCTGGGGTTCGAACCGCAGTGGGTGCGTACTGCCGATGATTCCCAAACTAGGATGAAACAGCTGTCCAGTACTCCCTGGTTTTCAATAGTTCTCTAACTGATATCAAACCATGATCAACTCGTAAAAGCAAAACTAATCCTTACAACCAACTATAGAAAATTTAACTGTATCACCAAGTAACCACTAATTTATATAACTCATTAACTGTATTTTTTATAATATACTGTTACACTATCATTTCATTGACTTGGATTCTTATTCTAATATTTGTTCCTTTACTGAGCTCGCTGTTAAGTCCCCTACAGACTTACTGTCAATGTTAAAACAAGTTGATTTCCTTCTTTATTGTTATGTTTAACTTTTATCAATTACATAACTTCGCATATTACTTCTTAGTAGTATGAGTGTTAAATGAAAGGTTTTATTACTTCTTAAGTCTTTACAACTCAGAGAATATTTTCCATTTCAGATGTGCGCATATATAATACACAATCAACTGAGACATGGTTTGCTAGCCTAGAAATTCCTTTATAAATCTATCCAGTATTCACACACACAAAGATCAGATGATTTATTGTTATTGACCGTTATACAAAGAAATGTTTCACCTATCTTGTTCAACTTAAATACACTTTGAAATAGATGTATATATACATACAGACTCTCAGATGAAGATATTGTATACATATATACCTGTTAAAAATGTCATAAAAAATTATTATAATCACATGATTTGCATGACTGTGCTTATTACAGTCTCTGCTGCTGTTGTTATTGTTGTTACTCTTGTGATGCTTTTATTCTACTGTACTAATTGAACAATATGTGGAAGAAATAAAAATGAAATATATGAGACTTATTTTAATCGTTGAACGACGGTTATTGTTGTTGTGAATTCAGATAATTAAATGTTTAAATATCTCCATGAGGAATGTGATGATTTAAGACACAGAAAGTGAAGTTGCGAAAAATCCTTATTCTTAGTCAAAACAATTAAAACACCTTATAACCGAGATTTCCGTTGTTTCATTTTTTAGTGTAGATTTCACCATGAATTAGTGAAAACTACGGCGTACCGGACAGCTAGCTGTCTCATTCTAATTTCAGAGCCAACAGTAGTAGGGACCCAATACCACAGTCGAGACTCAGCCCATGAACTTTAAGTTACAAGGCTGACCTGCTGACCATTCACCATGATAACTAGAAGGTCTTGAGTTCCATCCCTAATATGCTTATGTATGGGCACTGCTGATGAGTCCCAAATCAGGACAAAATAGCTACCCATTTTCCCTTGGTTTTTGATTATTGTCCAACTGATGTCAGTTCGTGACAAAATCTTCTTTGAAATTAACTAAAATCCCTACAAAACACAAAATATCTGAATATTTCTCAACTGGGATTATTTTCATAGTTTCATAGTGTCATAGCTTAATTCTATGACGAATAAAAATGACAGGAAAGATCTGTAGCTCAGATGGATGCTATTAGTGTTGCTCCAAATACAGGTGAAACTAACACCTTTTTATGATGATATTATTTGACAGTGACTAGTATATTTATCAGGTGAAGATATTTCATTTGTTCTACAATAAGTTCATTAAATGCAAGTCTTAGTATCTTCATGATTACTGAATCTTAAAATGACTAAATAGTATTTCGAAAATGAAAGAGTTATTTCATAAGACTGATGTACTACAATGCATTTTCAGATTTTCTTCATGTACAGAGGAGATAGAAGTAATGATGAGTACTAGTCACGATCAACGGGAGAAATATAAAGAAAGTTACCTCCTTTACTCAATTGGTCAGAATCGCTTCAACTACAAGAGGCACGGATGAGGATGTCAAAGTCAGGATCGGTAGAGCAAGACAGGAGTTCATTACTCTGAAATCCATGTGGAAATCTACAGCACCCAGCATAAGAAACAAGATCTGGATTTTTAACATAGTGTCAAGTCAGTCACTGCCTCAATACGCTTCAGAAACTTGCAGCGTGACGATAAGCATTTCCAGCAGCTTGTTATAGGCTGTCTTCGCTTGATTCTGAAGATCAAATGGCCAGAAAGTATAGGCAAAAAGCAAGGAAATCTGACAACAAACTAATCAATAACCCAACAAATATGCAGAAAGAAATGAATATGGATTGAATATACTCTAAGACTGTCACACGCCTGGCCCTCGACTGGAACCCGAATAGGAAATGACCAGTTGGGTGTGCTAGCGTGACAAGAAGGAGATAGTAGAGCATTTATAGGCAAATATG